ACTTCTAATGTGAAGCCAATTCATTAGAGTGGGTATAAGAAAAATGACAAGACCGTCATGGAACCCCTTTATTTGGCTTAGGAGACTTTAATATAGTTTTTTGGTAGAGCAAAACCTTGTTTTTAATCTACAGTACCTTAACGCACAATTTTAATTATTTAAATAAGTTTACAAGTAATAATCAAGTAGGAGTAATATTGAAATATTTTTTTAAATTATTTAGAAAGTTGAAAACATTGTTCTTCTCGCATCAGCATCTCAAGAGACATGGCTGTAGATAAATTTGAAAAGGAAAGACTATGAGTTCGCAAGTTGGATCATCCGATACAAAGGGAAGTCATAGTACCTTAAAGTAATCTGGCTGTAAGTCCTCGATATTAAAAGACCAATAATATAGTATGTAGGTATTTGAGAATAATTTATATCCTCCAAGTATTGCAAGTTCGGTTTTGCTTGCATTTTACTAACAATGAAAGCGGCTTTCAAATTTATTTAGATAAAGGGGAGTTAAGATTTAATCATAAAATTCTTAGCTTAATGTATAATTAATTTTTGTAAGGAGTAGTCTAGTGCTCTTTGCAGGTGTTTGTCACACTACAGAATATATCTCAGCACAGATTTATCTAAGTTGCAGAACGGTGCATCAAGGAATACTATGCTCAAGTCAGAGATGTGATGAGACCATTTTACGAGTCTTTACAACCGAACAATTAATATAAAATGAAAGGACCAATGAATTGAGCTTACGAAGGAGTTTACAAAAAGCTAGGCCTCGATCAAAACGATTTGGTTTTAGCGTTAAAAGTAGTATTAATTCTTCATGAAAATGGATCTATCCAAAATCATTTACTAAAAGTATATTTGACGTTAATACTAGTTCTTATGCAGCAAAGTTCATAAAATTTAGGAAACATTTTTAAAGTGGTATTCAATATAGACCGTTATATCCATATCGACTCTACCATTGCACCATCTCTATCATAAAAAGATTTGGACAATAAATTATACTAACAGAAACTCACAATTTTTAAGTATGAAGACCAAGATGGTGTGGTCTTTTTTTGTGATCGCAGTCTCCTTCCATTGTATAGAAGTTGTTTGACCTCGTTTTCGCAACTTGGTCATATTGATAGGAAGATGCACCTTGTCCTGAGTCAATTGTATGCATCATCATTTCCAGAGTAGGACCGTGGACCTGGTACATTCCCAGACGTTTCGCCGGCATCG